TTCGTACACTAGCTGCCGCTAGCGGATGGAATGAACAAGCCCTGCTCACCACGTATCGTCAATGTCTGAATCCTCGCGTGCGATTGCATCTCGCTGCCTACGAGGATTCCATCGGGCTAGAGCGCTTTATCCAACTTTCCATCCGCTTCGCCACTCGTATGCAGTCATGTCTCGAGGAACATCTGGACCTGCCATTCACTCTTCCATCTCTTCGTCGAACTGAGTCCATCAGCCCTCCAGAATCCACCTACGAACCCATGCAGTTAGATGGCGCACGTTTGACTCGTGCTGAACGTAATAGACGGCTGACCCAGAGTCTGTGTTTATATTGTGGTTCCTCTGAGCACTTTATTTCTAAATGTCCCATTCGTCCTCCTCGTCCCATGGTGAGTGCTATAATTCCTACGTTTGAAAACTTGAAACCACTCTCAACTATTGTGAATTTAACTGCTGCTGATGTTACTATTCCAGTCATCGCCCTTCTCGACTCAGGGTCAGCAGGCAACTTCATCTCTGGAGCCCTCTGCCGTCAGCTCAAGCTCAAGTCAACCGCCACGCCGTCCATCTACCAAATTCACTCGATAACTGGCAGACCCCTCAGCCGTAAGCAGGTACGTCTCTGTGCTGGTCCCATACAGCTTCAAGTAGGAGCCCTACACATAGAACAACAACATTTGCTGGTTTTGGAGGATTCCACTGCTGATGTAATTTTAGGGCGCCCATGGTTGGAGCAGCACAATCCCATCATCTCCTGGAAGACTGGTGAAATACTGAAGTGGGGGGACTGCTGTTTTCCCAACTGTTTCTCTGCACTTCCAGTGCCGGCCACTCCTCAGGCCAAAGAGCTTCCTCTTTACTCTACTTCCATTGAAAGTCCAGTGGAGAAGCTTTCGGTGGACATTCCTCCTTGTTATGCACATTTCAGTGATGTTTTCTGTCCCCAGCGAGCCTCCAAGCTGCCTCCTCACCGACCATGGGATTGTGCTATCGATCTGCTTCAGGGTGAGTCAGTGCCCCGTGGGAAGATTTATCCCCTGTCACTCCCGGAGGAGAAGGCCATGGTGGAATACATCAAAGAGGCTCTGGATCAAGGTTACATCCGTCCGTCTACTTCCCCTGCTGCTTCCAGCTTCTTTTTTGTGGCTAAGAAGGACGGAGGCTTGCGCCCCTGTATAGATTACCGCGCACTCAACCGGATCACTGTCAAGTTTCGCTACCCCCTTCCTCTCGTCCCCGCTGCACTGGAACATCTCCGAGGTGCCACTGTTTTTTCCAAGTTGGACCTCCGCAGCGCCTACAACCTCATCCGGATACGTGAGGGGGACGAATGGAAGACGGCCTTCGTGACCCCTACAGGCCACTACGAGTACCTCGTTATGCCATATGGTTTGGCCAACGCCCCCTCCGTATTCCAGGATTTCATACATGAGGTACTCCGGGAGTTCCTCCACAAGTTTGTCTTGGTCTATATAGATGATATCCTGATTTACTCCCGGAGTATGACCGAACATCGTCACCACGTTGCGGAGGTCCTGAAACGCCTGAGGGATTTCCAGTTGTTCCTGAAAGCAGAAAAGTGCTCTTTTCACCAATCCTCTGTGCAGTTCCTTGGCTATCACATCGATAGCAGTGGCATCCGGATGGACGAAGGGAAGGTGGATGCCATCCGCAACTGGCCCATACCCACAACTATTAAGGAACTCCAACGTTTCCTCGGATTCTCCAATTTCTACCGTCGCTTCATCCTGAACTACAGCATCATTGCCAGTCCACTTACTCACCTCCTTCGACACAAGCCCAAATCTCTGTCCTGGACACCTGCTGCCACTCAAGCCTTCGAATCCCTCAAGAAGTCTTTCACCACCGCTCCCCTCCTAGTTCATCCCGATCCTGAGAAACCTTTCGTTGTGGAGGTCGACGCTTCGACCACGGGAGTGGGAGCGGTCCTTTCCCAGCAACAGGGGAACCCAGGTAGACTTCATCCATGCGCCTTCTTCTCCCGCAAACTCAACCCGGCGGAGGTCAACTACGACATCGGCAATAGGGAGCTGTTAGCCGTCAAGTTGGCTCTGGAGGAGTGGAGACACTGGTTGGAGGGGGCACAACATCCATTCGTGGTATTGACTGATCACAAAAATCTACAGTACCTCAGAGACGCTAAAAGATTAAACCCACGACAGGCAAGATGGGCTTTGTTCTTTACCCGTTTCCGATTCACCATTTCCTACCTCCCTGGTCCCAAGAATCTTAAAGCGGACGCTTTATCCCGTCTCCATAGTCCTGAAGAGAGGACAGAAGATCCAGAGCATGTTCTACCTGAGAACCTTTTTGTGAACCCCATCACCTGGTCTGAGGAAACCCTACCCTCCTCCAATGTCTCCACCAACACTCCGCCGGGTTGCCCACCAGGCTCACTCTACATCACCCGGACTCGGCGCACTCCTCTCATCCACACTTCCCACACATCGCTGGGCACTGGCCACCCAGGGGTCAATGAGACCCTCTCGCTGCTAAGAGAACGCTTCTGGTGGCCTAACATGGCAGCGGACGTCAGAAGGTACGTGAGAGGTTGCAAGGAATGCGCTATCTCCAAGAGTCCACGTCATCTTCCCTCCGGTAAGCTGCATCCTCTGCTCGTTCCCAGTAGACCCTGGTCACACCTAGGAGTTGATTTCATAACTGACTTACCTACCTCTGATAACTGTACCTGCATTCTAGTAATCATCGACAGATTTTCCAAGTCATGTCGTCTGATTCCGCTGAAGGGTCTTCCCACCGCCATGCAAACTGCCGAGCTTATGTTCAACCATATCTTCAGAGCTTATGGAATTCCCGAGGACATTGTGTCAGATAGAGGACCACAATTCATCTCCAAGGTATGGAAGGCATTCTTCTCGCTCCTAGGTGTGACGGTCAGCCTCTCCTCTGGTTACCATCCGCAGTCGAACGGGCAGACGGAACGAAAGATACAGGAGATTGGACGTTTCCTCCGTACCTTTTGTCACGGCCACCAGGACTCTTGGAACCAGTTCCTGGGTTGGGCCGAGTACGCACAGAACTCCCTTCGGCAACCTACCACTGGACTCACTGCCTTCCAGTGCGTGCTCGGTTACCAACCCCCACTATTCCCCTGGTCTGGGGAACCATCGGATGTCCCTGCCGTTGACTACTGGTTCCGAGAGAGCGAGAGGGTCTGGGGCTCTGCTCACCACCAGCTACAACGGGCACTGCGCAGACATAGAATGACAGCCGACCTTCGCCGCTCCGACACTCCAACGTATCAGCCAGGTCAGAAGGTCTGGCTGTCCACCAGAGACATCAAGCTACGTTTACCTTGCCGAAAGCTGAGTCCCAGGTTCATTGGCCCCTTCAACATCGTGAAGCAGATCAACCCTGTCTCTTACCAACTTCAATTACCACCACAATACAAGATTCATTCTACCTTCCACGTCTCCTTGCTGAAGCCTTATCATCCCTCTGTTTCTGTTTCCACAGAGCCTGGCGCAGCAGCAGAACCCCCTCCTCCGCTCATCCTAGAAGAGGGTGCCACTTACCAGGTTCACGACATCTTAGACTCCCGGCGCCGTGGTGGTCTACTGGAGTATCTCGTGGACTGGGAGGGATACGGCCCTGAAGAACGCTCTTGGGTACCCAGAGACGATATACTTGATCCTAACCTGCTCGATCAGTTCCATACCACTCATCCGGAGAAACCCGCCCCCCGGGGCAGAGGCCGGCCACCACGACGTCGGGGTCCACGGCCCTCAGGAGCGGGCCGTGAAGGGGGGGGGTAATGTCACAATCACGCCAGGCTCCACCCTCACACAATCACAGCGCACTCCCTCTCCTGAGTACTGATTACACACCTGCTCATCACACACCTGCACATCATCAGTACTGCAATCACCTCCTGCATTTAAACCTCACTCTCGCTCTCATTCTTTGTCCGGTATCGTTTGCATCAAGACGCTAACGCTGTGCTTACCTCTTGGACTCCAATATCTGCAATCCAGTCTCCGTTGGGGTTTCTCCGAGTCTTCATTGATCCTAAACTCCTGAGTCTCCTTGAATCCCAGTTTGTCTTCTATTCATCAACTGCAAGTATTCGAACTGTGATTATCCAAAGTAGATCATCTGGATCTCTTCTCATCATCTACCCATCACCAGCACTGCCGAACTTTCACCTGATTGTTCAATAAACATACTTTCACTTGCATCCTTGTTTCAGTCCCTTCTGTCTTGTAACAAGATGCTTGTACAGTTGAATTATGTGCTATAATTGCATTAGAATTGATTAAACAGTCCAGGGATGTCAACATTCTATAGTGACTCTTTATCAGCTCTTATGAGGATTAAGTCTGGAAAAGTCAAGGGTATGAAGAAAAAGTAATATGTGTGGATACCAGCGCATGTGAGCATAATGAGAAAGCTGATAAATTGGCAAAAGAGGCAACAAAGAAAGAGCATGTGGAAAAAGCATTAGACTATATGGAAAAAGGTAATGGAAATATGGCAACATCAATGAGATCATGAAAGAAAAGGAAGACATCTATACATGATTCAGAATAATAGGCATTATAAAAGCAACAAATAGAAGGAAATAACAAAGATGTAATGCATGGACTCAGGATTGGGCATTGTAAGTTAAATGGAACTCTTTGTATATTAAGAAAACATCCCACCACTGGTCAATGCGATGAATATCAAGAGGAGGAAACAGTTAGGCACATTTTTATGTCATGCAGGAAATTTACACAAGAAAGACAGGAGTTGAAATATAATTTACAAGAAATTGGTGTAGGGCAGTATAATGTAAAAAGTAGCCTATATTAGAATGCGGGAATAGTGATCAAGGGAGGAAATATTTGTAATATTTTTAATATAAATTTTTTAAGGAGGACTTGACTGGAAAGACGAATATAATTATTATATGAAGTGACAAGTTAAAAGACTACAGGTGGCAGTAATGCAACTTTTTGGATGCCAAAAGCCATAAAACACCAAGGAAGAAGGAGAAGAAGAAGGTTGTCTGTCTGATAAATGTGAGGTTTGTAATGTGCCTGAAAATGTCGAGCATGTCATCATGAAGTGTAGCAAATATGATGCTGAGAGGAACATCTTACGTGACAATATGAATTAGGACGGGGATGGAATTTAGAAGGGATTTTAGGGATGAGTGAAGAAACAAGGGAGTGCTGCAAAGCTGTATGTAAATATCTTAAATATACACGATTAGATCATATCATATAGTTTTTTTTTTTTTTTTTTTATTAAATACCAAGTACTAAAACCTTGAAATTACACACTCCGGTACAGTAGGTGGTGGTATGCACCTCAACAAAGCTGGTTGCGACCCGCCATTAATCCTAGAGAAGAAGAAGAAGAAGAAGAAGAAGAAGAAGAAGGTATGCTCCGAAGGGTGTTCATTCTGTCATAAAATTCAATCGGAAAAAGAAGATAAATACAATGTTGAAGATTAGCCGATGGGCTGTCAGTTCATTAAGTGAACAAAATGTTTATTCGGCGTAGCCTACTGAAAAAAACACGTCTGAAAAACGCTGTCTTGCCTCCTTCCCAACCCAGCGTTAAGTTTTGTTGTTGTTGACATTGGAGGCTAAACTTTAAATCTGCTCTGCCGATGCTGAAACATCAAAATGGCGTTGTGAGTCTATTTATCTTTTCAGGGCTGATCAGGATAAACCAATCACATCGTTTACAAGAGCTTACTAGGACGGGTTTCGATTTGTATCTCAGATACCAATCCTTGGAATTCATAATTTAGGCAATTTATTGTATACATTCTAACAATAATGTAACAATAAGAAGTGAGGGAAAAACAAACAAAGTGAGATCTGAATGCAGCTTGAGCGCCCCTTGTCCATAGAACACAGTGATAAGCTGGCAACATTTTCTGCCCAATAGACTGCAAAAATGTTGTACTGAGTGAAGTTTACTTATTTTTGGAAAAATAACTGTCTGTTATTTCTGTCGTATAGAATACAGCATGCACAAGATATATTAAGTATAGGGTGTCTCTTTGTGCGCTACAGACATAATTTATTTAAACTTTTCTTCTGTGCAAACCATATGTGTATTTTCATAGCATGTTTTAGTTTGTTTCAGTTTATTTTATTCTTTCCTTGAATTATTGTTATTATTATTTCTATTTTGTTATCACAGTAGCTGACTTGATATGTCCTGATGGTGTAAGGATCAAAGCTACATAATGTCCCAGCATGCTTTGCTCTCTGTGGGTTGTAAGGCATGGCGGTCACTCACATGTCCACAGTCAGAGCTTCGGCTGGATCTCACTCTGGGCTGTGGTCAGACCTTCAGGTAAACTATATTCTACTGTTTCATTGCTCTCTTCAAAAGAAACATTTATTTTAAAAGGGTCCCATTCCATGCTTTTGTAGCATTTTATTTACTCCCTGCAGTCCATTTATAATGTTAGTCATTGTTTCTCATACCCAAGCCAATCTTATTTTTTTATTTCACACCGTCTCTCACCCTAAGCATGCTGTTTTTATACTGTACCTTTAAGATGTCTGTGTAAATTGTGTTTTGACTGGCCTACCAAGACACATGTGAAATAATTAACAACACTCCCACCAAGCTGCTAAATACTGAGAGTAGGTGATATGTAAATATGGGCTGTATTTAAAAATACAGTAAGCAGCAGATAATGTTTCTTTAAGCGTATGAATGTCTATGTTCAATTGTTCATGATTGTCTATCTTTTTAGATGGCGTGAGACTGAAGATGGTCACTGGACGGGAGTAATGCGGGGAAAAGTGTGGACGCTTACTCAAACAGAGGATACGTTATGGTACTATGTTTACAATCATCAAAAAAATCCAGGAACAGAAAACAGACAGAAACAAAAAGTGGAAGAGGAGGAGCAGTTATTGGGGACGAGGTCAAAAAGAATGATTGACATAAAGCAGGAAGAAGTGGGAATGTGCACAGTTTTGTCAGAACCTGACAACAAAGAGGAGGAACTTCTGAGGGACTATTTCCAGTTAGATGTTAAATTAGGGGATCTCTACAGGAACTGGAGCACCGCAGATCCACACTTTAAGCATACAGCAAACGTCTTCACAGGTACATATCTAATTAACGGAATAGTTCACCCAAAAATGAAAATTCTGTCATAATTTTCTCATCTCATATGATTTCAGCTTCAACACAAATGCAGTTATGCTGAATTTCCGTGATGCTCTTTTCCATATATTGAAAGAATCAGTGACGTAGCGCAAATCTGCGGGGCCCCCCTGCAAACGCATGTCCGACTCCACCCCCCATATGAACTACACCTATCATCAGCATGTGAGTTCTATATAGTCCTGTGAGCAGAGCTGGGGGTGGATCAGTGAACGGCTATACCGTCTATACCAGAAACAAGTCCAGAGAAATTTCATTTCGGCACGTTATTTGAGTGGACTTTGCTTTTATGGTGATCGTGAGTGCATGATTGGAACGTTTGGGCCGTGAGCGACAGAAGAGAGCTCATCGCACACACGGATCGAAATACTGAGCAGTTGCTTCGAAGCTGTGCATCTTTGGAAGCGGAGCCGCTTGCAAAGTTACAAAACATGCTGCACGAGAGTGCAACCTTATCGCTGAACAATGAAGAGGAGGGGCAGGGCGCCATATTTTCAGCCTTCTTTCTCTTTTGGCCAAAAAGCGAAAATGCCATTTTCGGCCGATAATTTTCAGCGGCCGAAATTTCGGTGAATTCCTAGTATTTACCTTTTATGGGCATTTTTTCCTTTTTAAAATCCATTTAATCCAAATCTAATTATATGCATGCATCATCTTTTGTGTCAATTTCATAAATTGTATCAAATTTAATTATAATAATAAGACACAATAGGGCTGTTACCAATCAAATTAAATGAGTATATCAACTAAATCCATCTTGGGCAATGGAGAGGAGAAACAAGCTGCATCTGAAGCGGCATTTAGATGCATTCACACTGAATGTTTAATGCAGCTCAGAGGTGACGAATGAATAACCTGCAGCTACAAATGCATAAATAATGTTTTGATGTTTTAAACATAATTTATATTTGAAATGATTTAAAACATGAAAAGATACTTTAAATGTGAAATTAAAACCGTCAGTACTAGCCTATGTGGCAGCAAGTCACCGTTAATGAGTGAGTCATGATTCAACCGATTCATTCAAACGGCTGATAATTCAGGAAGCATTTGACTTAATCCATCTTAGTAATTGATTCAACTGTAACGCTTTACAATAAGGTTCATTAGTTAACATTAGTTAACTACTTTAGTTAACATGAACTAATAATGAACTGCACTTCTACAGCATTTATTAATCTTTGTTAATGTTAATTTCTACATTAACTAATACATTCTTAAAATCAAAAGTTGTATTAGTTAATGCACAGTGAACTAACATGAACAAACAATGAACAGCTGTATGTATTTTTGGGTAACAAAGATGAATAAATACTAAAATGTAAGTCACTTAATATTAACTTCTTGTTTATTAAACTTGTATAAAATCAATATCACATTTGTTATCATGCTGATATCTGGAGAAAAACTGCACTCTTCGTGTGATATTTATTAACTATATTAAATTATATAAATTAGACTAAATTACGCAGTGAAAGCGTGCACTCAAAATGCGCACCCGAACTAGTCTAATCTAATAGACTACATCACGTAGATTATGCGTCCACTCTCTGTGTGTGTGAGGGATGTACTTGATAATGTCAGATTGCACATTGTTAAAACAACAATTACGATATTATCGCAGATGATATATATCGCACACCCCTAATAACGAGTGATACGAACAGTAACAATGGTGTCAGTTTTACCTAATCAAATCGAGCCTGAGTCCTCATCCTTTGGAGTGTGTGCAAAGTAAATTTGCCCCCCAAAAGTTCATAAAGAGATTGTAAAACTAATCCATATGAATTGAGCGGTTTAGTGCACATTTTCTGAAGAGTCCCTCTTTATATAATGAACAGATTTAATTTAGGCTTTTATTCACATTTAAACTTTGATCAGCGAACATAAACAAAAGCTCAACCGAACCTGGTTGACGTGTGAGAACAAAGTAACCTCATTGGTTCTTGCAGAAGCTCAAACGTGCTGCGTAACACATGAGAATGAACCTCATTGGTTCTCGCACGTGAAGCGAATATGCTTGAGCTTCTGTTTACCACAACTGATGTGTGAGTTGATGAATGTTTATATGTGAATAAAATCCTAAATTCAATCTGTGCATTTTATAAAGCAGTCGAGTCTCTTCAGAAAATTTGGACTAAACCGCTTAATTCATATGCATTAGTTTTACGATCTCTTTATACACTTTTTGAAGCGTCAAAGTGGAAGTTGCTAGCTCTCCGAAGATGAATGAAAGTCTTACGGGTTTGGAACGACATGAGGGTGAGTAAATAATGACAGAATTTTCATTTTTGGGTAAACTATCTCTTTAAGGCAAGTAGTGAATGTTTTATGAGCAATTTGGATAACCAAATTCATCTGCACAGTCACGCAGAGCCGAAGCACAAACAAAATGCATGCAGTTTTGTTTTTTAACCGTTAGAGGGGAAAAAGTTACATAGTGTACATTTAAGAAGATGTAAAAATAATTCATGGACTAGTTTTATACTTTTATGATGCATTTATGGTGCATTGCCAGACACTTTGAAACCCATTGGTTATTGTATGTTTTCAAACAACTTGAGGGTAACAATCACAGTATTTTCTTCTCCTTTCAAGGTGCACTCATGTGTAATTTTTCGGTTTAAAGAAGATTTACACACATCATATTTGTATCTATTAACATGTCTGTAACTATTCTAACAACTATTTTTAACATTTGATAATATTAAGAAATGTTTCTTGAGCACTAAATAAGTATATTAGAATGATTTCTAAAGGATCACGTAAAAATGGCTGCTGAAAAATCAGCACAGGAAAAACAATCGCATTTTACAATATATTCAAATTAAAAATGGTTATCTTAAATTGTAATATTTCACAATATTACTGTTTTTACTGTATTTGATCAAATAAATGGAGCCTTTGTCAGCATAAGAGATTTATTTCAGAAACAAAAAAAATCGAAAACTTTTGACCGATAGTTTAAGTAGCCTAATAAAAGCTGATTTATTTTACAGGAAGTCAAGTCAAGTCATCTTCATTTATATAGCGCTTTTAACAATGTAGATTGTTTCAAAGCAGCTTTACAGAGATAAACGGTAAAAGAGATTGTTTTGGCTTTATAGCGATTTTTGAATAATGCTATTTCCAGCTAAAGTTAGTTTTGATTGATTCTCTTCCAGCAAAATGATCATTTGTTATCAAATTAGGGGCCACTAAGACGATGGCGTTCTCTCTAAACAGACTTTAAACGCGAACCTGTGACCGGATGGCGTTCACATGCGCATTAAAGGGTTAGTTCACCCAAAAATGAAAATTAAGTCATTAATTACTCACCCCCATGCTGTACCAACCCCGTAAGACCTTCGTTCATCTTCGGAACACAAATGAAGATATTTTTGATTAAATCTGAGAGGTGGATCACTGCTACATAGGCTGCCTAAGGGAATGAAACTTGACGGCCCAGAAAGTCATTAAAGAAAATGTTTAAATATTCCATGTGCCTACAGTGGCTCAACTATAAGTTTATCAAGCGACGAGAATACTTTTTGTGTGAAAAACCCCCATAAATAACGACTTTATTCGACTATTCCATTACTTCCTTGTGGGCCTTGAGACGAGAGTTGAAGAGATTTCCAGAACGCATGCGCGAGAACTGAGAAGAGGACGTTCTTCTTCTACTACTTCTTGTTCAGTTCTCGCGCATGCGTCGTGGAAATCTTCTTGTTCAGTTCTCGCGCATGCGTCGTGGAAATCTCTTGAACTCTCGTCTCAGGCCCACAAGGAAGTAATGGAATAGTCGAATAAAGTCGTTATTTATGTTTTTTTTCGCACAAAAAGTATTCTCGTCGCTTGATAAACTTATAGTTGAGCCACTGTAGGCACATGGAATATTTAAACATTTTCTTTAATGACTTTCTGGGCCGTCAAGTTTCATTCCCTTAGGCAGCCTATGTAGCAGTGATCCACCTCTCAGATTTAATCAAAAATATCTTCATTTGTGTTCCGAAGATGAACGAAGGTCTTACGGGGTTGGTACAGCATGGGGGTGAGTAATTAATGACTTAATTTTCATTTTTGGGTGAACTAACCCTTTAAGAATTGATTCTATAGTTATATTCGTTTGAATATATGTGCGCAGGTTTGTAATTTCCCTACAAACCATGCCTAAACAAACTACTTGTCTTGCCTATATATTTGATAAAGAATTTTGTTTTATTTTATCACTTCGGGGTACGCGAACCGGATTTTCAACAACGCTTTATCTGTAGAGTGGGAAAGGGATCCTCCATAGGGAGAGGATAGTTGACACTTCAGCACTGCATTGTCATCGGGTCCAGGCGAAGCTCCTTCGTCAGATCTGGATACGGCCGGGATCCGGCAGGAAGCAGGTTGCTTCATAGGCCAGACATGTTGAAATCACATGACCAGCCAAACACTACTCACTTTTTTCACGAAACAAACTTTGTGTCTATAGATCCACGGTGACTGACATATTAGCTAGTGCAACATAAACTAAAATCTACTGAGTGCTATCTTTTGAGCAGTGGTTCTTAATAAAAAAAAAATCCCTTTTAATGTGTGTGTGGATGTGTCTGTCTTTTTGAATATCTCAGGAGTGCGTTTGTTACGTCAAGATCCCAGGGAGTGTCTTTTCTCATTCATCTGTAGCTCTAATAATCACATCTCACGGATTCAGGGCATGGTTGACAGACTGTGTCAGACACTCGGGACTCTCCTCTGCAAGATTGATGATGTGGCCTATCATGATTTTCCCCCTCTGCAAGAACTTACAGGTAAAAAAAAATTGTATAATATGACTTGTTTGTTTGCTTGGTTTTATTGTATTTATATGATAGTTGTATTTTTGTAATTTATTTTTTGCCATGAAAACACTCTTAAAAATGTTTCACTGGTCTCGAAGTTAGTTTTCTGTATGAAGTAGTTTTTTATAATCACTGTTTTAAGTTGTTGGGGTGCTTTCTTCATGTTTGTATTTATTTCATATCTACATAACACCACTCGCCTCTTAGACATCAAATACAGATATTTGCAGTGAAAGGAGCTAATGGACTACTAATTCATACCTTTTGAGCTACCACCAAATTCTACCATACAACTATTGAAGTGTCTTATATGGATTCAATTTACAAATAAATTGTACTTAGCTGTTTACTCTGACTAAATCACACAGAACAGAATGAAGCAGCTGACAAAATGGAATTTAGTCCTTAATTGAGCTTATTTAACCTATTAAACATTTAATTAATTTCAACCGAACTCATCCATGGCGACTGATACTTTTTACATATAGCTATACAATAAAATATGCATTTGCATGTTAACATATAGTGACACTTTTCATTTAAACAAATTATATTTCAAATATCAATATAATAAAAACATGAAGGGTAGTTGTGTTTGTCAGGTCTCACACATGAAGTATTGCAGTGTTTAAAAAGCATGTATTTGTTTCATTTAAAGAGAACCCTTTAATCTCATTCAAGCTGATCTGTGATCTACTTCAGACATCCATCTGAGGAGAATTGGTGAAATGCGGTTACATAGTTTACCAGCCATTGCTTTCTCAGACAAGCTTAGCTGAATTAAAGCAACTTTTAACACCGTATTTTTAATACGATGTACACGATAATGTCAGAATATTTCCTCTTCTGTCTCTGAAAATATACAGACTGTAAAATCTTGCGAACACTTTCGGAAACTAGGCAACAACTGCTCATTAATAATGCATATATTTTTATTTTTATTTATTTTTTTAGTTTAGAGCTTTATTAATCCTCGTGGGGCAATTAGTTTGAGCTTACATGGTGCCTCACATAAAACACTTAGCACATACATTCAAATACATAAAATAAATAAATAAAATAATAATAATAATAAAAAAATCACCAAAATGTATTACATAGCCGTATTGCTTCAGGCACGAAAGTAAATTTATAGCAATTTGTAGAACATTTAATTGCCCTTAGACATCGTCCCAGGGGCATCCATTCAAAGTCCAAATGCAGCGGGTGTGTACTATCTCCTATATAACTATATAACCGGAAACTAGCAAACCGGTTTGTTTCAATTTTTTTTATTTCAAATTGTCTTTGAGCCTACAATAGGATATAATGAAATATTTTAAATTTTAGTTAAAAGACAAAAGAAAAAAAAAAGCACATGGGGGCCTGCATTTTAAATATCTGCAGTAATTTTAGTTAGTGACATTTTTGCCACAATATCTTGTTAATTTCTGACCCTGGTACATACCAAATAATTAAAAGAATAGACATGAAATGTTGATTTGAGTTTAATGGTTAGTTCACATACAAATTCACACTCTTGTCGTTCCAAATCCTTAAGGCTTTTGTTAAGGAAATTTCTGTCCCTTCATTAAAAGTACATTCACCCAAAACTTCAAAAAGTGAATAAAATGCAAGAAAACGTAATCCATATGAATTGGGCAGTTTAAACCAAGTTTGATAGCTTTATATGATTTAGGTTTTTGTTCTCAATATAAAACATTGATCAACACACATACTGTACATAGAGCATATCAAATATGATAAATAGAAACTCAAACGTGCTTGCTTGATGCACATGAGGTTTATTCTCATGTGTGATGCAAGCACATTTGAGCTTCCGCAAAAACCAATGAGGTTTGTTCTCTCGCGTCGAGCATGTACCGTTGAGTATCCTTTTACCATATTTGATGTGCTCTGTGTGTTGATTGAATGTTTATATATGAATAAAGAGCTACATTAAATCTGATCAAGAACTTGGATGAACTATCCCTTTAAATAATTCTATTTCATGAGAAGAAAGATCATAGACTTATATGAGAGATGTGAAAATAGCACATATACGGTATGTAAGAAATGGGTTGCCCATGACAACAGTTATTTATATAGTTTAGCATTCTTATGCAAAAATATTTGGCTGCTGAATGCCAATATTGACCATCACAATCTTATATTCCAGACAGACTAAGAGTAAATGTGTTTAAAATCCAAAATCATTGACACACCACAATGCAAAATTAAACAAGCACTGAAAAGGATAATGCTTAATATTTGAATCTTTGTTTGTATATATGTGGCAGACCCTAGTGTGGAGATGCGTTTGCGAGACTTGGGTTTCGGCTACCGTGCTCGTTTCCTGCAGCAGAGCTCACAAATCATTGTGAACTCTCATGGCCCTGACTGGCTCCAGTCACTCCGAAGCGCCCCCTACCTGCAGGCCAGAGATGCACTGAGAACTCTTCCTGGAGTTGGTCTCAAAGTACATGAGGGCTTTTATTTTATTTCAGCCTAACTGTCCTGATCGTTCTAGCTGTAAAACGCATAGATTTGTCATATCTGTAAACATCGGTGTTACATCTGAAATATATGTTTGCTTGGGATCAGGTGGCTGACTGTGTATGTCTGATGTCACTGGACAAGTTTGAGGCTCTTCCTGTGGACACACATGTGTGGCAGATCGCCAAACGTGACTACAATTTTGCTGCCGGTAACAGCCAGAAGACCTTGACTGATAGAGTCTACAAAGAGATTGGTTAGTATCCATAATATACTCTGCCTGGCAACCACACACAACAGTCTAGCAATTTGTGCCTGTGAGTTTTGAACTGACAAACTCTACTCACGTTTTCTTAAAAAAAAAAAGTAAAAATCTACTTTAAATGTAAAGTAAATGAGGTATATCTTTGATCCTATTTTTCTAGGTGACTTCTTTAGAAAAGTCTGGGGTCCCTATGCTGGCTGGGCACAGTCTGTGAGTAATACTGTACAACCTTCATTGGATAATAATATTTATATTTTTTCCACATTGATGACCTCTTTATTGTGTCTTTTTGTTTCTCAGGTACTTTTTTGTGCTGATCTAAAGAAGTTTCAGAAGCTGAGAGAAGAGGTTCCTGTAATGAAAGATGAGAAAACTGAGCTGAAGAACAAGATGAAAAAGAGAGGATATGAGGGATATAAAGAAGAACAGAAAAGAGAAAAAGGCAATAAGCATCAGAGGTCATAAGATCAAATGATAACATTTATCAATTATCAACTCAGAGAGCCTGTGTGTTTTTTTTTTTTTTAAAGTGGGGATAGGATGCATCTTTTGAATATAATCTCCTATATATATATATATATATATATATAACCAGAATTACAAACAGCTCAATTTGATTGGTAATTTCTAGGAAGGAACAATATTTTCCACGGTGTATAATAAATGTGCAGGTAAACACTCTGAAGGTTTTGTTGTTTGTTGTAAAACTGAAACATAGGAAACAAAGTCAAAATCAATCTTTTTTCACTTTTCTTAAGAAACAGATAAAATATACATTTTGATAACTATTGTTTTTTTCTCAGTTTTAAAAAATAATACAATTCTGAATTTGCCTGAATTTTTCCATTTTGTAGAAGCAATAGCCTCATGGGCAGAGCTCCAATATGTCTCTCAATAGCATTACCAAGTTCAATTACCGGCATGGTCCTTTCTTGATCATGTGCCCAAGTCTTCTCCTTTGTCGTTTCCTGTCTCTCCTTCACTCTTATCCCATAAAGGCTCTCAGGACATCAAATTCAAATATGCAAATTCACTCTTTGCCAGTAGGTATAGCGGATACATAAAGCAGAGCTGCACTTATAAACTCTTCATTATTATAGGCAATAGGCATTATACAGAGAGGCAATAATAAAATAATAATAATAAAAGAAAATTGCATCAAAACTTTACTGGCTGAAATGTGCATTTACAGTTATGATCTAGACACCATAAATTATTGATTTATAATTTATGGTGTAAATAAAATGTATTGATTTGTTGGTAAACATAATTCTACAGCGGAAAAATATGTTGTTCATGTTTATACGCACTTTACTATCATTACTTGCATTCAAATAAGTATTAATGGATTTAGTGTACACTATTTCAACATTAACTGATGTGTTACTAACATTTGTAGTCTCTTTATTAACATTAATTACCATTAATAAAGCATTTATTAATGGAATTTATAAACCTTATTGTAAAGTGTACACTATTCAACATTAACTGATGTGTTACTAACAGACTCTTTATTGACATGACTTTACATTAATATAGCATTTATTAATGGAATTTATGAACCTTATTGTAAAGTGTAGACTATTCAACATTAACTGATGTGTTACTAACATTTGTAGACTCTTTATTGACACGACTTACCATTAATAAAGTATTTATTAATGGAATTTATAAACCTTATTGTAAAGTGTACACTATTTCAACATTAACTGATGTGTTACTAACATTTGTTTTCCGCTGTAGAATTATGTTTACCAACAAATCAATACCTTATATGAAAGAGTGTTGATAAGGTACACAACAGTATTTTTACATTTAGGGTAACATGGTGAGTTAGAAATGTTCATACTTAGTGTGTGTCAACTGCTACATAAACTAATGTAAATATGTACAGTAAGTTAACCTTACAAAACAGTAAAGCTATTTACAGGCATTGTTCATGGTTAGTTCATGTTAACTAATGCATAATGTTAACTAACCGTGCTGTTAATGTGAATTGATGCATTAGTATATGTGTGAGTTAACGTTAACATATATTAACTAATGATGAACAGAGGTGTTGTTCATGGTTAGTTCATGTTAACTAATGCATTAACTAATGTTAACTAATGGAACCTTATTATAAAGTGTTACCCAATATTCTAAAAGAAACTCAAATAAACACCTTAATCAGAATATTGTCTTTTTCAGAATAAGGTCAATACTGCTGTCCATGTAAACATAGTCTATATCTGGGGCCTTCAGAACATCACCAAATGAAAGCATATGTTGAGGCAAATGAAGCCTCCTTGGAGTATTGACATCTTCAATTAGCCCTGGAATACACAACAAAGTTATCAACCAACAAAACTAATCCGGTTTATCATAGTTTTTTTTTCTCCTCTGTTCTCATTGTGGTATGAGAAAAGGCCAAGGAATATTAGTCTCTTCCGACTAAGGATTAAACCCTACTTAAAAGTTATAGGTACAAGGTAGATGTAAACAAAATCTTAAAAGGTCAATATAAGCCTTCTCTTAATATTTGTATTGTGTTTTATTAGTGACACATTTGGGATATATTCCAAAACTTTCTGTAAATACAGTATGAGAATTAACTGCACAATTACTAGAAATGTTTACCTTGGATATTATACAATTTGCAAGCACAATTTGAAGAAGAAAAAAATTGGAACTGTGAACCAATTTTGTATTGTATATATATATATATATATATATATATATATATATATATATATATATATATATATATATATATATTGTCCTTGCATTCTTGTGGCTCAGTGACACACCTGAATGAAAGGCTCATTAGTATGCAGCCCCATTATGCGCTCATTATGCGGGCCCATTGTCTTCTCAGGTGTGAATCACAGCAAGTCACGCCTCTGCGCATATTGCCTTTCCAAACAAAAAGTGTCATATAAACGAATGTATTGTTTTATGTGAATGATTAGAAAGGATGATTTTCAGATCATTTTGAAGAAAAAACTCAAGGCGACAACATCCATTAGTCAAAAGTCTTGTGGACACATATTTAGTATGTGTTTTGTGGCCTTATTTCAGAAACTTTAAGTTTTAGTTTTTTCAATAACCATGCATAAACAATATTCTCTCAAAAATACAAACATGTACATACATGTTGCTCACATATTATGGTAGCCCTGTTTGTGCTAAATAGAGTGTAATTACACCTTTGCCAGTAATTTGTTTATAAGCAACTGAAAAAAGCATAAATGTCAGGGCATGTCAAAACATCTGAAGGACCCCAAAAACCCTTAGACCCCAGAGGGTTAAGGTAAGACACTAATAGTAGCATGTTATTGTTGCATAAACTTTACATTGTAGCTACTAGTTAAACTGGTGCCAGACTAAAATGTACGTTATGAAATGTGATTGTAAAAACATGAAGCCTAATGCTAAATGTATATAGGCCTACATGTACCACACGAGAATGTTTTTATGTTCGATAATTAAACACAGCACGATATAACAGTAGGCTCGTATGAGTGTTTATTCATGGTGAATATTATAATGTTTAGACCTGTGTTTACTGTTAAATACTGTGTTTGTGGATATCTGCTCACACGTAGATATGTATAATATGGTAAGAATAATGTTTCATAGTTTGGAGTGGCTTGATCGCTTCAGTAAATGTCCTCTGCACGCGCTGTGAGTTTGAGTCACTCGTGGTGTGGGTTTGAAAAGATAAACGCACCAAACATTAGGCTTCATGTTTTTACTTCAATCTCATTTCATAACGTCGTAACGTATGGAAACGTTTGAAGTAACATGATAATCCATATATTTTTCTCTAGTGCGGTGTTACGGAAGTGTTCCTTTTTAACGATTTATAGGCTGCCTGCTATCTAGGCTATTGTTAATATTTTATATAGCTCCCCACATATATGCATACAAGGCACAACAAATTTGGTGTTCATATATATATAGTGTATGTATTTAGTAAATTTCCTTATTTTAACCAGAAAAATCTAAAATGTATTCCCAAAATCGTGCAGCCCTATAGTTTCTCTTGATATCAGCATTTTTTTTTTCTAAAAAAATATTTTTAAAGGGACCAGATGCCACTGATGAGTCCTGCTGACTTAAACATTCACATGATTCTCTGTACATGAACATGGTAAAGTGAAAAATCAAACACCTTGGAGATAACAGGCATGTAGCCTACTATGTTTTAGGAATGGCACAAAGGTGTGTGACTGACCAAGTCTCTGTCTTTAGATCAGTGTGTTTACTAATGTGCTTTTTTGTCATTTGTTGTGTATCTTTGGATTATGCTGTATTGTAAATAAATCCAAACAATCTAAAAGCCATTCTTTTTTAAGTCTCTCCTCATTCTTTGTGCAAGGCTCCTCATAACATCATCACCTAATAGGGCCATTAGGGGAGGGTCTTTGTCTTTCTCAGGTGTCAAACCCATCAATATTAATGGGTGGTTAACGCCTCCCCGCATAAAGCTTTCTTACACAAACAGAGCTGCCAACTCTCACGCATTGGCCGTGAGACACACGCATTTGATTGGTTTCACACGCTCACACGCCACACCCCTGATTTCTCACGGTGAAGTGTCAACCTGCTCGGTCAAATGCCTGGAAGATGAGTTTATCTATATATCTACCTGTTGAGCCACTCGTGATCGACTAGTTATGCCGCAAATTAGTTAAAATCTCCCATAATCTAGAGTGAGCGTGCACGCGAGACAGAGATTGTGCTCCAAACCACGTAGCGCGCGCACGGCAGAGAGGGAAAGCGAGCGAGATAACTTGCGTGTGCAAGCACCCCCCCTAAACTAAACCGGCACTTCTGAGGTAAATTTCCCAGGATTATTATTATTACGATTATATATTCCTCACAGCGTAGCAAGATGACGTAGAGTACATTAAGCTGATTAAACTTGATGTGTTTTATCGAGTTGATGTGGGCGTTCACAGGTTTGCATGGATTGCCTCAGATCATTAGCAGATAATGAGCTGAACTGAGAACGACTGACATCTCTCTCTTTTCATACAGATTACATAAACAGAGAATATTTGTTTTTTACATAAATTACTTCATTTAAAAGAAGAGAATTCAAGCTTTTTAAAGACATATCTTGCCTGTGTGACTGAGTATTCGCTGAGTTAGTTCATTTTCGAACGCGTTTCAGAATAGACTTCACTGACAGAGAGAAGGCAGAACTCGCATCTGAAGGCAGAACTCGCAAATGTTTATTTTTCTTTATTTGGCGAAAAGCACAACACTTTGTTTTTATTGTGAGTATACACACAAAAAATAGACACTTAACAGGATCGAATGATGTACAACACTTATATGTAAGATCAAAATCAACAGAGTATTTTGAGTCTCTTTTGCACTGATAAGAAAAAAAGCGAGCTGGTATCGCTGGCGCAACTGCAGACCCCAGGGGGTTAAGGATGAACTAGACAACATTATGCTCTCCATGGGTGTGA